GTGTGTTTTTGTTTTTTTTTTTGTGTTTTGTGTTTTTTTTTTTGTTGTTTTTTTGTTTTTTTTGTTTTGTTTTTTTGATTTTTGTTTTTTCTTTTTTTGTTTTTTTGTTTTTTTTGTTTGTGTTTTTGTGTTTGTGTGTTTTTTTGTGTTTGTGTGTTTGTGTGTGTGTGTGTGTGTGTGTGTGTGTGTGTGTGTGTGTGTGTCTGTGTGTGTGTGTCTGTGTGTGTCTGTGTGTGTTTCTTTGTGTTTGTATGTAAATGTATGTATGTAAGTGTATATTTGTACATATGTATATAAATGGAGATATATGTATGTATGTATATAAATGGAGATATATGTATGTATGTATATAAATGGAGATATATGTATGTATGTATATAAATGGAGATATATATGTATGTATGTATATAAATGGAGATATATATGTATGTGTATTTTTATGTGTTATGGCCCGTTGAGCGTGCAGGATCCTTCATCGACTCGCTGCACGGCGACCGTCTCTGGTGCTGCGTCTCTCTCGCCAGGAGCGCAGCTGTGGCAGCAGCGGCAGCTGTTGCGGCTGCAGCAGCAGGCAGTAAAGGAAGGTATTCCCCTGGCTGCTGCTGTCCGACGTCATTTTGGTGATCTTACGGATGAGGCTTTGGAGGCTTTTCAGAGGATCCTGGCGCTCTCTGGGGATCGCACCTTGCGGTCTGGAGGACGTCTTGGCGCCTCTAATCGTGGGGGCGACCTCCCTAGACGGATGGAATCTGCGCGCGAAAAAAGTGCTCGCGGGAATTTTTCGGATGTCGGGACGGAGCGTTCCGAGGCGCCTTGTGGGGAGAGGAGTCGGAGCTGGAGGAGGTCTCGGGGAGCCTTCGTGACTGAGCCGCTGCGAGGGAGGGGTTTAGAGTCGAGCGAGAAGGAGAAGGACGAAGACAGCGTTCTTTTCAAGGAGAGAGCCTTTGAGGACGGCGTCTCGAGCAGGTGGCGTGGGGGCACTGGTAGGGGGGAAGCCACTTCTGCAGGCTCGGCGAGAAGCCGCTTCTCTGGCGCCAGCTGGCGGGAGGAAGTGGGGTCGGGAGAAGGCAGCAGCAGCAGCAGGGCCCCACAGATCAAGGGGCAGGAGGCTGTGTCTGAATCCTCTCTGACGAAGTTCGAGCAGAAACTGCTGCAGATCAATCAGCGGCGGTGGAGCGGCAGCGACGAGCCAACGGGCACCAGTCATCCCCAGACGCCGTCTCTACCGGCAGAGACTCCACCGACAAGCGACACTCAGCGCAGTAGTCGGAACGAGGGAGCTGGCAGGGATCTCGAAAGCACGGCAGACCTCAATGCGCTCTCGGCTATGGCTCTGCGGGCGCATCTAAGAGGCGACGTCCAGGCAGCACGGCGTCTAGAAGGCCTCATTGCTCTCAGGGGGTTAGAAGGAAAGGGGCTTAAACGTGCTGAGGAGACGGCTTTTGCCGCTGTTGTCTCCACCTCTGTCTCTGCGGCAGGGTTGCCTCAGAGGCAGAGGACTGAGACAGCGACGGCGCAAGGCGATCTTGGTCCCAAGCGAAGGAGACACGGCGATATGCAGGCTTTCCCAGAGTTCGTTTCGCTGGCTTGCACGCTGCTGGCTCGCCGGGGTGTCTGTGCTGTGCGGGCATGCACCAGCGCTGCCCCTTGGCTCATGGATTCTACGGTTATGCTGCTCCTGTTGCTTCGCAAGACTCTCACAGCGCCAGATGCAGTCGTCTCAATGCGTGCTGCAGTTGTAGCGTCGCTGCGCTTTTTTGTGCCGCAGCCGAATGTGGGGGGATAGCGCGCAGACTATCGCCGAAATGACGCGGGAGGAAAAAGGCCTTAGTGCTGTAGCCAACGAGCGGCAGCTCAACAAGCGGATTCTCGCAAGTCAGATGACTCCTGCCTGCATGCACGCTAGAGGCCCTTCCCCCTTCTTTCCTTTATCTCTCTCATTGGCTCTGCCTTGTCTGTTGTTCTTCCCTCGCAAATCGTCGTTGCGCTTGCTTCCTATCCCCCTACGGGTTGTCTCGTCCTCGTGTGTGTGCCTTTCCCTTCGTTGCATGCTGTGCCGCTTTGTCTGCCGTCTCTCAGGATGCTTTTGCATGTCTATGCATACATATATATATATATATATATATATTGGCACATGTATGCTCACCTGCGTCTCTTTGCTGTGGGGCGTTGTCGCACCCGCTGGCTGCGTGAGTGTTTTTCTGCTTGCATCTCTCTCTCTCTCTCTCTCTTTCTCTCTCTCTCTCTTCTTGTCTCTCTTTTCTTTTTTTCTCTCTTCTGTCTCCTTGTCTCACTCTGCTCGTGTTTCTCCTCTTACCTTTTTCCTTTTCCTCTCTTCTTTTTCTCTCATCTTTTCCTCTCTAATCGTGTCTCCCTCTTCTTATTTCTTCTTTGACTACATATTCTTCTTTCTCTTTCTCTGTCTTTTTCTTCCTTTTTTTCTTTTTTTTTCGCGTCGTCTGCCTGTTGGGTTT